AGAAGTCGCAACACTGGTATTAGTTCAAGTTACGAGTAATTAGTGTGAATTAGCGCATCTAACAGTGATATTCCGGGCAGCTTCCAGTGAACAATCCGCAAGTTCGCTGTAAGGTGAGGTATTGCATCGAAATTCACCGTAAGCGCGAGCTCCAGCAAGCTGTAAGCTGTGGTCGGATCGGTGAAGGATGCACACATCAGGGTGTAGGGGCGTATCGTACAGTGATATTCCCGGCAGTCTCCATATTACAGTGGAATTCACTGCAAGTGCAAGCTCTGATTGGTGAAAGCATAACCAGTAATTTCTCATAGTCTCCGAGAGTGAGGTAGCCTCGCAGCCAGGTTAGCGTAGCAGGGGCTGGTTGGATCTCGGTACACCCGCACGACACGCACAATCAAACCGTTCATGTTGTCTTCTAGAAGGCATGTCGAAAGTATTTAAAAATTAAAAATTATCATGTGTACAGTGGCTATTAGTTTTGGTTGATTTATGACCGATTCACCATTTCGCACTCAAATTTCTGAGTTGAAAATGCAAGTAATTTCGTACGCTCTCAATGTTCTGGAGAGACCAAGGCTTCCGTGTTACGCTTTCCTTCTTCTGAAGTGAATCTACCTGCCTACTGTCTCCAGTAGCTGTTCTCTCTGACTGTGAAAATGCTTAGGAGAAAGGTATAGTATGCACCCCCAACACATCGAGGACGAAATATCTGAAGACAGTGGTCCGTGAGCGAAATTGGCGAGTGAGTACGTCAAATGTTGACTATTTAATCACAACTTGTCCTTGTACGACGGGACAGCATAACCTTGTTAATTGAAGCACATTTACGCAGTGGCCCAGTCTAGTTATTTTCGATGCTTTTTGCTGGTAACATAGCTTATTTTGTGGCCTGTCAGTTAGCGGTGTGTCCTAACCTCGTCTCTGTACCTTGTACAATGTGGTTACTAACTGTGTGTTTTGTTTGTCTAGTCACGTCGTTCACATTCTATCCTGCCTCTTTGAGCCTCTTTTGGTTCTAAGCTCCGGGTGACAAGTGTTGCACCAAGTGGTATGTATGGTGACAAAATAAACCTTTGCTGTGAATGCCCTGGGATGAGTTTGAAGATTTTGTGTACAACATGTTTCTAGTAAATCTAATTGTTTTGTTTCTTTCGCAGGGGTGGTTCTGAGGTGGCCTCTGACGCTGTCCCATAGAAGAACAAATCTTCAGTGAGAGCTGATCCACACACTGCCAGGCGTTCAACTGAATTATGGCTTCTCTGCTTCATCTAGATGTTGACGTCAAGAACGAAATATTTGAAGATTCTGAAAACCTGCCTCTTGTTAGTTCTCTGGATATAACGGATAGTTATGATGAAGTCAAGGTTGATGTACGTTAATTATTACCAGTCAAATTTATAGGCAGATCTTACATCTCAGCTCTCTGCAAACTATTTTCATTGCTTCCAGCTTTTAAATGACATGAAGGAGGAGGACACAACTACAACCAACCCACAACCAGATTCATTTTGTTTCAATAATTGTTGCTGTTTTGAGTATACCCCTGCCTCATTTCCCAGACCACCCGTGAAAACTCATTTGGCAAGGAGACGAGTTTTCAGTCGACAAGAGGTATGTATGCATGTTTTTTGTTGACAACGTAAGGTCAACAGTTGATAAATCAAATAAATGTGAACAAACTCTGATGCTGATTTCTTTGTAATATTTTGCAATTTTCTTGCAGTCTGGAGTCTGGCGTGATCTGGTCATTGTAAGAAAACTTCTTCAAACTACCCTACCGAAGAAACATGTGGGCAGTAGGTGGACCAAACTGACAACGGAGTCCATTATGAGGTTCCTCAAGAGCTTCTTATCCATGGCACGTTCTTCCAGGTTGACTCACTGCGCTAGTGTGTGTCTTTCCCTAAATGGTCCTCGAATACTGAAATGTGAGGTGTGTTTCCTCGAATTCTCTGGTTTATATGATCGTTATCTGAAACTCTTCACTCATTACAAGAATAGTCACAAACTTAAGTGCAATGTGCTTATTGGTCAAAAGTGGATCAAACAAAAGGCTTCATTAGAAGTTATGGTTGATGCGTGGAAATTGGACTTAAAATATGAACTCCAAAACTCTTGTTGTATAGGCGAACTCAGTTTGGTTTGAATACTCTCTCCAGAAGTATTAAATTTTTCTAGATCTTTACCTCCCAACACTTCTTCTGGGAGTATGGTGTAAAAAGCTAGACCCCACTTTGTGTGAAGAAATGGTAATACACACAGCTATTCCGCTGTAATCAAAATGTTGCATTTTGCGGCTTCATGAATCAATAATAGAGGTTTGTTTTGATTTGCTAAGGAAAATTTTAAGAAATGATGAATTTAAAATACTAGAAGATGCGTTTGGCCCTTCGCCACGTGACCACTGTTAGACCACATTTTTTTATTCTTGTTTAAACTTGCAGCTTGTACCTATTTTGTTATGATTTTTTAAACGTAAGTTCAAGATGGACCATGTCATCCAGCTAGCTTGCTGTGATCCAAGATATCTGAATTGTTAACTCTAAGTAGTCCCTCTTTTTCTGTTATAATTTTATAAGTCATTTTTAAATCTATCCCCTTGATAGGCTGTTAGTGTTTTGTCTGATCACGAATATTTGTGCTTTCTTTTGAGATTTTTGAATGTGTGCAATCCCTAGTAACCCAGTTTAGCTTCAATATTCATGAAATACTCAATAGTAAATGATGGATTGTCAAAGCTGTGATAGAAATGAAGTTGAGTAGCTGCATTTCATGTACTGAACAAAAGGAGGTTGGTTTCTTACTGAGTATCCAAATTTCAGACTCCTTCATTGCTGCAAGCATGCATGTATCACTTGCAATTTCTCTTCATAATAAATATTTGTCTATCCAGACTGTGGCTACTTAACAGTAGTGGACACGTCTGCCCACTATTCTTGTTTTCTTGTTATGTGGTATGTTATAGGTACATATGACAAGCACATTTAAGCTGTTACCATAGATTGATTTGGTTACTATGTAATAACTTGCACTCAATTTACATTGCAACTGTTTCATTGATATGTGATTCACATTTCTAATGCAGTTAGGCCAAGCCTTTTCAATGTGAATGTTATTGGTACGGAGTTCATGTCAGTCTTCATGTCTTGTCTTTTCCATGGAGGCTGTACTTGGTATGTGTAATGCTGTAAGAATTAATTGTGTTTTTATCCCAATAACAGACAGCATCTGTATTTTACTTTTATTTTTTTAGTGGGGTTCATGATCTATATTTCCCCAGCCTTCAGCTTAGTAATGTAATATGGTACGAACTGAAGTCCAAATGTAATTGGTATCTTTTGATCGCCATCCCATCTTTTTGCTTTAAAAAGCTCTTTGTTTATCACAACATTATCGCCAGTCCCTTCTATTTTGTTTTATTTTAATTAACTTATTGGTTACCCACTTTATGTCTGCGATTTTGATAGGGGTGTGTAGCGGTAATCTTGAAGATTCCAGGGACAATTATTGTTGACATGTATATCAGGAGGTTTCAATTCGATTGCAGTTAGATGTCTCTAGTTGGTACCTTGAGAATTCACTGTAGTTCTCATGTCTGATCTTTTTTTTTTTTTCTATGGAGGCAGTTCTCGGTATGTGGCTGTAGGCATTTATGATGTAATCACGTCTAATAACACAAGGCATCCTTATTGTAGTCTTGTTGTTGTAGTGGGGTCCATGAATTATATTTTCCTAAACTCTTGTAATGCTACATTGTATGAACAGAATACCTATACTTTGTGGTGTTATGTTAAATGTTTATCCCACCCTTCTGCTTTGAAGAAGCCTTTTTTGTTACAAAGTGATGGTCAATTTTCCTTTATCTCTCTGATCATGATGAATTGCGGTAATCTTGTGGATTCCATGGACTACTGTAGGCATGTATAGGAGGGTTCCACTCTTTTTATACACATCCAAATTATAATGATGGATTTGTCTTAAAACTGACCCTAATAAAATATTTGTTACCAAGACCTGCTTCTGCTTTGACAATGCCTCTTTCTTCACCTCATAGCAGTCTGTTGTGGAAATATGTGCCACATAAATGGTTCAATAGAGAGGGTTGTTTGTGACTACTCAAAGTGTGATGTGTCCTGCAATTAAAAAATTCCCCTAAGAAATGATGCAGCTTTCAGTATCTTAAATTAAATAGAACGTGGCTGTCATGTCTTTAAGAGGCAATCTATTAGTTGCTGCATAAAAAGATGGGGATAATCACTATCAGTTTTGAGGTAGTTAGGTGCGCTTTTATGTGGAACACCAATAAATATTATCTCTAAATATATCATATGAATTTAAATTATTAAAAGGAATAGATGGTGGAACACAAATCAGCATTCAAGCTACAAAGTACTGCCAAGGTGACAAAAGGGCTGTAATTAAAACAAGTGATTCAGATTTTAATTAATCAATAGCCTTGAGAAATTCAAGAGAGTACGGATTTTTTTTTTTCAGAGAAACAATTTAAATTTTATGCCAACCACTCCAAAAAGAAAAAAGGAGCAAAGAGTATTACACGCTGCTCTTAAGAACAAGGCGGCTCTCTGAATCCAATGACAAACCAGGGTTTTCGCAGGATGCAACATTGCAACCTGAATAGGAACATACCTGCCAGGTTGCAAGCCTGCCACTGCACTGAATCTTTGACTCATTAAGGAGACAATGACATCCAAACCAGAATTGAAAGACTACCTTAGAAAATGATGCAGCTTTCTACCTCTTTCATTTAAATTGATTTTCATGTCTCTAAAAAGGCATATGCCGTATCTATTAGTCCCTGCATAAGAAGATATGGAAAATCGGATAATCACTCTCAGACCGGTGAGGTAGTGAGGTGAATTTTATTGTGGAAAACTTACTAAAACAAAGGATTTGTACCAAGTCAAAAAAATAATAATATAGACAATTATACTAGCAAAGCTTGAATAGGCCACATATTTTGTTTACCACATTTACTCGAATGTAAGGCAATCATCAATACCGCTGAAAGCAGTGACTGAGTTGATGTCCTACTCGCCTTCAGTTTAGTGCAAAGAGGAAAGGCCGGAGAAGGCACCTTCAACTTTGCAGCCAATAGAGGGTAGGGCCCAACACCAGATAAGTCTTTCTTAAGCAGCTTCCTCAGCTGGGTTAGGGTCAACATCGAGCACCATTAGAGAGTCCTGAGTCTCCCATGCCTCAAGCTCCTCTTTATAAAGAATCGCCTGGTCCTTGGACATAGCATAGGTTTTTTTCACACCCGGGAACAAGAGTGACCATGACATGCAAGTCACCGGACTCAGGTCTTCAAATCTTGTGACATTTTTTCGTCCCCTCAAAACCATAATGCCAAGCCGCTTCAGAAAAGTGCATGCTTCTTTGAAGCGTTTCAGAGCCTCATCAGCCCCCAAAGATAGTTCCCTGTTCAGACAAAAAGAGAAAATGTTACTGTAGCTGCTCCACCATGATAATATGAGAGAATGGGTCCAAGCTCAATGATTTTAACTTACTGTTGGTCCAGTACCACACATGCTGGGACACAATGCCAATTACTCTTATTCAGTCTTGACAGAAGTCTGTTGAGTCTCTCCGCTTCCAGTTGGGCAGCATTGACATCAACAGGATGATCCTCAGCATTGTATTCACCGTAACCATCCCAATCTGAACCCAGGTAGTTGGAGTGAAAATTGATAAAATGCACTTTCTTCTGTGCATTTCGTCGGGTGGCATCCTTATGCATTGACCGATATGTGAGTCCACACAATACACAACGTTCTAGAAAAATCTCGCTCTGTAGTAGCCGGATGGGGTGCTTGATATCGCTCGTATCAATTGAGCAGCACTGGAATAAGCAAGATTGCCATTATAAATACAGTCAAAACAGTTCACTCCAGGATAATTCATCTTTAGGTGTGCCACCACAGGAAACTAACAGACTATGTGGAAATAGGTACTAATCTTAAGAGGAATTTGGTCTGGTTAGTCTAGACGATAAAAAACTTAATTCAGATATGAACCAATTACTACTATCAAGGTAGGATATTTTTCCATAGTTCCAAACTAACTCTGTTGCAGGGAGTATGTTTTTCATCTCTGCCCTTACGACATGGGCCCATGGACCGTGGTTCACCTGACGAACAATGACATTTGACTTCAAACTCCAATTGGAGTATGAGATGGGGCCACCAAGATATTGCTGATGCTCTGCAGGACTTCTGATGTACAGATGGCTTGAAGGCCCCTCAACAGGGCAAACCACTTTCCAGCCAACCGCCAATGCATCATTTTCTCTGATATTTAATTTCATGGGCAACTTCTCTGCAACTCTAAGGCGATACCCAAGGTCTGGATGCTCAGGTTCATAAAATATCTCAAAAATTACACTGCATTTCTGCCAAATGTCATGGATTTCCTGAAGAAGATCATCCATACGCTTCTTTGACAATGCTCTTCCACCTGCAAATGTACCACAAGACATTAAAATTTAAGTTGAAGCACAAGAAGACTACAACTTATGGGGAAAAAAAGCTAACTTACCCGTCTGGTCAGATTCTTCTTTCGATGTACAAACTCTAAGTGGTACACGCATGAACTGGTGAGCACAAGCATTGTCATATTCATATAACTGCCTCATTTGAGCTGGTGACGGCTGCAGAAGGACATTTATGGAATTTTGGGAAGGTACCCTGGAAATCATAAGTTAATTATTTAACGCATTTAGTTCAAATACAGTTTGTTTTCATTTTCACGTTTTAATTTTAGCGAAATAAGCAGGAAGTATTGAGAGCACTAAATACGCTGGCAGCAGGTCGGTTGAGGTCTTACCTATATTGTTCACTCTTTTGTCTCTTGGACCTACGACAAGGTTCATCACCCTCAACCTCTCCCGTTCTTACTGAAGATGAAGATGCCATCACCATAACTACAACAGACGTTGAAGAAAACGAATTTGTTATTGAAGTCGGTCTTAAGGCAAGTACAATAACAACTTAAAACAAGTTTTGTTCTCTAGCACGGGTCTGCGCCTTGTCGAGTGGCGTGACGTTTCGGTCTCGCTTTTGTTCTTTTTCCGACGAGCGCTTGGTCTGAAGGTAACTGCTGCACGAAAGCAACTAAACAGCAAGGAACGAATTTAAAGCAGATTTTTGCCTTAGAAATTAGACTATTATGAGTAAAATCACTAATTATGATGTTTTCCATTCTTCTGCAGGAGGGCACGCAGTTGTTGAGTTTCTAATTCTTCAGTACCTCGGCCACTCACTCAGGTTTCGTGTTCGCAACTACAGTGTGAATTCATGTGATTTAATCCACCTTTTATCACGATGGCTAAGTTTCAAAGTAAAGTGAATTTGTCAGAAGATCTTACTGATGATGTTTTTAATATTCACGAAGTCGTTTTGGAAGAGACTGCATTATTTCAACTACATAACCTCTGTGACAAAATTCTCAGGGATAACCCCAACGCCCAGCATGATGGGGGCTTCAAGGTAATTCATTGCATTGCTTTTGCGTCCTGCATTGCATTGCATCTTGCATCCTCACTAAGCTACTTTAGTTAAATTAAATCATCAGAGAAATTTCAGATGTAGACATTCAGAGCTAAGTGTGTGTGTAGTCGGAGCGAGCCATGACTTTTGTCATTTCCTTTTCATGGACTCTTTTATGGAACTTTTCGTACACCCACCTTCCGAATAGGGCTCAATTATGCCGTTCCTTTCTTTTTTTTCCACAGATACGGCTTCCAGAATCGCTCTATGGAAGTGGATCGACACTCAGTGACTTCTGGACCAAATTTCCCTCTGCTTCTCGTTTCTTGTCAAGTCAGCACCTGACCTTTGACGAGAACAATAACTCT